GAAAGTGGCACGATGCCACCGTCTCTGCTGAGCTTATGGCTTCAGGCAGCAGCCAAAGCCCTTGTCAGGGCTCCCTGTTCACAGCTATTTGCTGGCCATTTAAAAAAAAAAAAAGAAAAAGAAAAAGGCAATGAACCTGTTGAGATGGCTGAAGACAAAGTTTTTCTGTAAGAAAGGAAAGTCAAGGCTCGCTCTCCATGTCTCAAGCTGCAGGCAGGAGGCAGCAGGCAGGAGGCAGCAGACAGGAGGCAGCAGACAGGAGGCAGCAGACAGGAGGCAGCAGGCAGGAGGCAGCAGGCAGGGGGCCGCGGGCCGAAAGTGAAGAGAAAGCCACCAGAGTAACTAGTAGCCAGCAAGGATTCAGTGAATAATCCCAAACCGCCCCCAAGAGGCTGATGTTCAGAAAAGGCCTCCCATAAGGAAAAACAACCAAAACCAAAAACCAAAACAACACACACACACCCCCCCAGATCCTGTATGTTTTCCTTGTGCCCCAAGAGGCTGATGTTCAGAAAAGGCCTCCTAGAAGGAAAAACACCCAAAAACCAAAACAACACACACACACCCACCCAGATCCTGTATGTTTTCCTTGCATTTGCCAGAAGTCTCAGCTGGAGGGTCCAGGCAGGGGACCCTCACCACATCACGGGGCAGCCACGTCAATAAGGGGGACCATGTGCCTCCGCTGCACCTTGGTGTGCAGGGACACGGGTGGGGCGGGCTGCGATACCCCCTCCCACAGTGGGTGAGAGAAGCTGGGCCCTGAGGCACTCCCATCCAGGCAGGAAAGACACAGTTTGTGTCCGAGAGGATTGTGAAACACATTGAGTCAGGGGAAGGTTCAGCTGGGTGATGGGTTCCCAGGGTGGGGGACACCCACACCATGGTGCCAGACACCCCGAGCATCGCTTCGCTGTTGAGAAGATGCTCTGCTCAGGGCTGTGCTGGTGAAATTCCCCCACAAGGCAGCAGGTACTGTTATTCTCCTTTGTCAGGAAAAAAGGAAGAAAGATGCTTCTCCACTGCAGACAAACATCTGGCTGCAGCTGTGTGAAGCAGGACCCAGCCCAGGTTTCCCTGGGTGCCCATGTTTTGTGGGGACCACATTTTCCCCTTCAGCAGCAGCTGGGCCCATACCAAGTGTCCAGGAGCAGCTGCCACCAGCTCTGTCCCTCCTGCTCCCACCAGCACCCCGGGAGCAGGGTGATGGACACCACCACGGGCCTGGATGCTCAGCAGCAAAACAACTTGCTCGGAGGCACCATTAGGTTTATTAGCCAGCCAGCTCTGTTGTGTTTTGCAACCTTCTTTCAAGATACAGTCAATCAACCTTGGCGAGACCCATAACAAACAAGGGCCGACTCCTTAGCTCTTACATGAGCCTCTGCCTCCATGAGCCTTGCCACCCAGCCCAAACCCAGCACAGACCTGGTTCGTTCACACCATCACAAGGAAAGCAACACTTAAACGCCAGACAACCAACTGAAAGGCAAACTCCTCCCTCCTGCCATGCCAGCATGCTCAGCCTACGTGCAGGTTCCCAGTGCCCAGGCTCGCCGCAACTGGGACCTAATGGTTTCCTTGTGGTTCCCACAGCTCTGCCCACAGGACACCCAAACCCACCGGGAGGAGAAGGAGCGTCTGCCCCTTCCCAAGCCCCACACACAGCCTGGGAACGCAGACCTTACCTGGGGGGTGGCCAGGGCTCACTGGGGGCTCAGTGCCAAGGGGCAGCAGCTGAAAGCACGGGAGCAGCCCTTGCATGGCGAGGGGCTTTTCTGGCTCCCAGCAGGAAATGAGGGTTAGTGGGAAAAGTGACCGGTGTTATCCAGTGTGCTTCCAGGTGCAGGCAGCTTCCCTCTCCCTGCCTCTCATCAGCGGGCTCAGCTGCTGCCATGGGGCCAGCTTGGGCATGGGCACAGCTGGAACGAACAGCAGCCACCCTTGACTGCGCAGCCGCAGCGAGCTGTGGGTCAGCACCCAGACCCCCCCATCCCAAACAGATCTGGGAATTTTTCTAACTGAACTATGAGAGGCTGCAACGTGTGATGCCGGTGCCCCAAGCCGCCCCAGCCCCTGGCTGCTGGCGGGAGATCCCCTCCCGTCACCCTGCAGTAATTAACAGGTTTCCTGCCGCCACCGTCACCTTCACCTGTGCATTACTGCAGCAGCGGGGCCGGGGTGCCACGGCAGGGCTCGGGCAGGGGGGTGAGGTGCCTGGAGGACGCTGGTCCCCAGCCCTCCCTGCAGCTCCTGGGTCAAACAAAGCAGCTGCAGGGTCTCAACAGCCTCCTGGGGAAAGCTGAAATTCAAATACTTTTGCCTGGATACTGATGTAATGCTATTCCTAGCACACTGTATGAATTCAGTAGGACTTGCAATTACAGCTGAAATTGGTATTTAACACACTTTGAAGAGTTTTAAGAGGAATCTTGGCACTTAAAACCTAACTCCCCTGCCCCTTGAGGTTTTATTTTGCTTGAGTGTTTAGGGCCACCTCCTCTTCAAAAAGAAAAAAGCAACGTTTGTATTGTCTTTGAAGAGATGAGACTTGAGCCTTCCTGATCTTCACCATCTCTCTTGACATTAACAAATATTCCTTGAGGCAAAACCTGCATCTCCCAGAAATGTGGGGAGGAAGGAAGCAGCAGAGCAAGTCCCCTGTGCTGCGCATCATCCCACACCACAGCCCCCTTCCTCCACAAAGGAAAAAATAATCATTGCACGGTGGACTCCTTAAATCACTAGATTTTAATAGCCATATAAACCCCTTGTGTACAGCAATCTGTGGCATACGAGAAACCATATAGATACCCAACAAGTTTTTCTGGCTTTTACCACATAAAACTATCAGCAAGTTTTCTTTTAAATCAACTCCTGTGGTAGAAACAATAACTAAGCAATTAACAGCAAATTTCTAATTTTCTAAAGGAACAATGTTTCTTCTCTTACAAAGAGCAGAGAAGCTGAGGGGGAGTTTCAGATATATGTACAGACCGGGGTACCTGGGAAGACGGCGAGAAGACGGCTGTCAGCACTGCAAGCGTGCATACCCAGTCTGGGGGGGGGCCCTGGCAGCACCTGGTGTCAACCCCCAAGGAGGGCTGGGGGCAACCGAGGGGTGACGGCCGCCTGCTGCTTTGCCTTCGAGAGGACCGCGTACCGCCTTGCCCTCCAGCAGCCACCGGTCCTGCCCGTGACCAGGACCAGCCCTCTCCCCCTGGGACACACGGCCTGGGGAGGTGCAGGATCCAACCCTGTACATCACCTTGCAGGCTGCAAAGTGTAGCTTGTCTGCATTGCCCATTTCTATCTATAATTTCACTCGCTCAGGAGCTGTAATCATTGAGAAGACACACAAGCATACCATACCTTTCCATGCCACCGCCCAGCGCCTCACAGGTGAGCTGTTCCCCTCCCCACCGCCCAGCGAGCCCAGGAGCCCACATCCCCTGCGCTATTCACATACGCAGCTGGCTCCCACCCCTCGTGCCTGGTTTCGGTGACGTCAGCATTCACAGAATTCACGGAATTCATTAAGAAAATCATTATTTACATCAACGCGTTCAGCGGCACGATGCGACAGAAGAGCTGAGACGAGTTCGCCCGAGTTTGCTGACTCGCACCCTGCCCACGGGCTTATTGCTGATTCGGGCTCGGGGACCGAATCGCCCCGGGCAGTTTCCATCCCTCCAGTTCACACAACGGTGGCAAAGCTGCTGTCTGCACCCCGAGCTTTCACTCGCTATGTTCTCCCTCAGGGGGAACCGTCCCCTGGGCAAGGCGTGCTGTGCGTGCACGCCATACCCTGGGCAACGTTAAGGCATTACATATATGCAGGAGCTGTTTGGGGATTTAAAAAAACCCACTCAAAGTGTAAACATTTTTGCACATACAGTCATTGGACTTCCACGCATGAAGTTTTCTGTTGTTTTCTGCATAAATCACGAGTTAACGATCTACACAAACAGCACTCGAGCAGACACCTGGAGCACTGGGGTTCTCTTACAGCACGGCAGCATGCAACGCGACAGACTCTAAGAAGTAGAAATATTATAAGTCTCAGTCCAGGATGCTTCCTTCTTCCTACGCTTCTTATTTAGTTTAGGTAAATGTCATTAACAACTACGTGCCGGTAATTTGGGTAAGATGGGTGGCTGCGTAAGGAGCTTCAGCACACGGCATGGCTAGCGCTTGGTGATTTCAGCTCGCTTCTACTTTATCTCTAAGTAGAAAAGGGAGAGATTCTGCTTCCGTTCCTGTATCTATGGAGGTTGCTCAATGACCCCTAGGTCGCTGTGCCGGCGGTGCTATAGGTTTAGGTATCAATGATTCTGCCTTCCTCAGGGACTTTGGCACATTCACCCCGATTCGTACAAGATCCCTGAGAACTTATCAAAGCTGCAGTACTTTACAATTTAAAAGACCCGATGTGGGCGCTCGGCTCCCCGCCACGCTCACGCCTGCTTCTTGTTGTTGTCCGTGCTGTGCAGCAGCGCCAGGAACTCCAGGATGAGGTTGGCCGTCTTGCGGGGCCGCTCCACCACCACCGAGTGCCCGCAGTTCTCCAGGATGTACATGTGGCAGTCCGGGATAGCGCTCGCTAAAACACTGGCACCAGAAACATCCAGGACCTGGACAGCAAGGGAAAAAATAATCACTCCCACAGGCAGAGCTAGGTTTTGCTGGACACCATAGAAACCCCGTTGGAGCTGCCTTTGCAAGTCCAAGTGAGATGCTGGGCAGGGATGTGGACACGGTCGTTGCAATGCCAGCCCCATCCTATGGTACCCGTGCCTGAGGATGGGGCAGGGACGCTGCACGGTGCTGGTCTCCGCATGCGGCCTGGAACTCTCTTGGATGCGTTTTGGCTGCCGGCTCAGTGCAAAGGGGTCATTGCAAGCAAACAGTTGCACCTTTGCATTTACAGAGCCCTTTGCACACCTGCAGCTTGCCTCCCAGCCCCAGCTCTGCCCTCTCCTCCGTCCAGCCCCATGCTGGCTGTCAGCTTTCTGCCCATCGCACCGCCGAGCCCCTGTGTCCAAACCCACTGGGGATGGGGACGCACGTGTGCCAGCTCGCTGCAGAGCGGCACACAGCTCAGCAGTATAGCCCACGCCGTGCCCCCATGGCAGAGATGGAGATGTGGTCCCATGAGGGAGGTGGAGGTGGCCGTGTACCTGGTCCTGCCTTCCCCAGATGACCTGCGTCGGCGCTTTGATCTTGCTCATGTTCTCATGGAGAGAGTGCCTGGACTTTTCATCCACGATTTCTAAAAACACTAGTGGGGGCAAGAGGAGAGTCAGTCCTACAAGGGGGATGCTTTGCCTTCTCCCAGGGGTCCCTGCAGGCCAACCCTGCCAGCATCCCCTCGCTGGGAAACCCAGGCAGGGGTGACGGGCAGAGCCCCAACGTGCTGCCCTTGCACTGCCACCAAGCCCTGCTGCTGAGACACCCTCCTCCAAGCCCATCTCCTTGTAGGGATTAGTACTAATTAACCCAGCTGGGAGGGGGAGGGTGAAGCACTGACACCATCACCCGTGGGGATGGCAGTGCATTGCTACCAGCGACCAAAGTGCATCCCCAAATCTGTTAATGACATTGCCCCCTCCCACCCTCAGCAAGGCAGCAGGGGGGTGCTGGGGCCCGGCAATGTGCAGGGGACATGGGGGCTGGGGACAGCCTGTCCCCACACCCTGGGGCTCCGGCTGGAAAGCCTGGCTAGAGGGACTGCTGCCACACACTTACGTTTCCGGTAAAAATCATTGTGTGGGATGCGAACGTCAACAAGGCCCTGAAGGATCTGCAGGGAGAGCAAAGGAGAGCTGCTGGAGGGGGACACCTGCACCCCACATGGGGCCGAGCATGCCCCCGAGAGCACCCCGTGCATGGTAGATGGCTGGGAGTGCATCCCTGCTGCGCCAACATGCCCTGTGCAGCCCACACCCAGCACGAACTCCTTCCTAAGCACGTCTGGCTTTCGCAACCACGCTTAAGTAACATGCATTTCAGCAACAAGAATTTTTGTCTTTTATGATGCAAACCCAGATTTCTCCCCCAGGCCAGCTATCCGTGGCCAGCAGGCCACCTCAGCCATGACTGTGCTTTTCTTCCTTCTTTTGTTCTTTTGCCAACAACAACAACAAAAAAAAAGGTCTTGGCATTACCTTACATTTTTTTCTTACTCTCCAATCTACTCATCCCAGACTTCCTAAGGAAAACCAGTTTAATGGCGAGCCCCTTGCCAAGTTCCTCTCGCCTGACAATGAGGTGATTACCATTTCCATTGCTTTTGCTTAAAAAAGCAACAAACAATCCCCCTCCAGGCCGGACAACAGCCGCCTTAGTTATTTAATGCTTCCTGCCAGCCATATTTACTAAAACCCCTTCAGCATCCCAGCCCGCTGCCAAAGACCTCATGGGAGGAGGAATTTCAGTGGGCGCTGCCAGAAGGAGCTGGGAAAAGTGGGTTTGAAGGGAAAGTGCTGGAAAGGCGTTGGGAGTGGAGCTGGGGGTGTCCCATCTGGGTGGTGGGGGGGTTAGCAGCACTGACTCTGCTCCCGGCATTGCCTCAGCTGGCTCAGGGCGAAGCAAAACTGCCACACACCCCCCCCCCGAGCCCCCCTTTCCCGGCCAACGCAGCCAGCCTGGGCTCCTCACCTGCTGCGGCACCTTGAAGCGAACGTAGGAGCAAAGCTTCAGCATATCTGCCATCTCCTCGGGAGTCGAGGGAATTAAAGGGATCCTGTCGATGCATTCGGACTCTTGCAGCTCCCGCAGCTGCTTAATGAACTTGCTGTCAGTGGTACTCGGCAGGCCTGGGTACAACAACAAGGGGGGCACAAGCTAAAACCTGGACAAGACCTCAGAAGCCCCAGCAATAGAGCATTGCTGTATTGACCTCCATCATGCCTGCCTCTGGCCTCCTGCTTGCTCAATCATTAAAAAAAGAAAAAATTAATATAGAGGAGGAGAATAAAATCTGCACATCCAGCAACCTTAATATCTGTCCAGAGATCCCCCAGGCTCCTCCCGCTCCAGGGCTTGACAGCACTGAGCCCCATGGGCTGACCCAACACGAGGTGTATTCCCTGCAGACAGGCATGAATACTTTGGCCAAAACTATAGTGTTTATTTTTATATGGACAGTGTTTATTTTATATGGACACGAGTACTAATGCCTGTGACCAGCCTGCCACAGAAAAGGGTTGGACAGAAAATTTCAGAAGCCCCATTTGCATGCAGGGAAAAATCCCCCAGCAGCCTAACCCCAAAACTCTGCAGCCCCCACACAGATGTTTCACATCCAGAAACACCCAGAGAGTCAGTCGACACCTCTCCCAGAGAGGAGGGGGAACCTTGCCACCCCCAGAGCTCGGTAACTAGGTAACGTTCACTTGGCTTCATTACTTCTTTCTCCTCTGGGAGCCGCTTTCCTTGCGTGGGAGGGGGAAGGAGCTGCTATAACAACTGGGGTGCAGCAAAGCCCTCCCTGGCAGAGAAGCCCCCTGCCAAAGGCCCCATGCTTCCTGCCACATGTCATGCCCAGGCTTCACCGAGCCCCTAGCCAAGGGGATGGTGGGGATGGAGGGGTGCTGCATGGGCACAGGGACACCCCACTGACCCGCGCCTGGCCCCGAAGCGCTCTTCCCACTTGGAGCATCCAAGTGTGGGAGGATGGAGCTCTCCAGCTCCTGAAGCCCCAGCCCTCTGGCACACTGGGCATCTCAAGTGGCCAGACTGAGGAGGCTTTTCCCATTGCTGTCTGGGTTCCCCCTCCAGAACTGAGAGGGTACAGATGTGCCATGTAAAATGGCTGCCACCCCAAGGGGAAGCACATTTTCTTCCAGAGCAGGACCTGTCCCATTTGCCCTAGTCCCAGTCTAACCACAGCACAGCGTGGCAAACTCCAAAGCCCTGGAGAAGAGCAGTCAGGACAAGGCTGTGATTTCCTCCCATGCCCTGCCAGAGATTTTCAGACTATACATGCAAATTATTTCAAATGCTTTGCACTAAAAGCCTATTTTGCTCCCAGCACTGCTCTGGGCTTTTGCACTGGCTCCTGCTTGCCCTCTCCCCATCTCACCTCCCCTGCATTGCCCACCTGCAGGACAGATGAGGGTCAGGCTGCAAATGTCCTCTGGGTACTGAGCAGCATAGACGCCAGCAACATTTCCCCCCATGGAAGTGCCAACCAGATGAAAGGGCCTTCTGTTCAGCTTGATGCACTCCACGAACTGGCAGAGGAGCAGAAGGAGCATTGTTAGGGGAGAGGAAGCAACGGCGTGGGGTCATTAGAGAAATTAAACTCAAAAGCTTGAGGTCAGTGGCTCTGGCTGCCTGGGAAGGGAGGGAGCGGGGCCGCACGAGGCAAGACTCATGGAGCTTAGCATCCCTCAAGTCCCCACATCCCTCTGCAGAGGCAATGCGATGCTAGGGCGTTACCTGGTGTATTCTCTTAGCTTGCCCGCTAATGGAGTAATCGTCCAAGGCCGAGCGGGTTGTGCCCTCATGCCCGGGCATGTCAACGCACACCAAGTGCAGGTTCTTTGGCAGGAACTGCAGAAACAAACCAGGGGTGGTTACGGCACAGGGGAACTGCTGCAAAGCCCAGGGATGGAAACTGGTGACCATGGGTGGGAGCAGGGGGGTCGCTCTCCTCCTACCAGCCCTTGGTTCTTCCCTCTTCCCCTGCAGTTCCCCTGCACGTCATAGGGATGAAAGGAATCCACCAAGCAACAAGCAAAGAGCTAAGGAGGGTATTTCTAGCATGTTACAGTGATTATAACATCCCATGCGTGCAACTGTTGGGTTCCCACACTGCCCCCAAGCCCAGGACCATCAGCTCTCACTGAGTAGCAACATGATAGAAATGGAGTCCCACCTTGACTATAGACAGCCACATGTCTTTGTGGGCTGAGAACCCATGTAACATCAGGATGGACGGGCGGTATCCAGGTCTCCCTCTATAGGAATAACAAAACTGATAGTCATCGTAGTTTGTATATCTAACCTGCATACCCAAGGCTCGGCGCCAGTACCTGGAAACAAGGAGAAAACACCACCAGTGAGTGAGGCAAGACCAGGGCCAGTGGCAATATAAGCCAGATGACAGGTCCAAACTCAGCTGCAGGTTTGCTAGTTTGCTAAGGCCAGTTAGTTTGGGCTCACACTGGTGCTGTTACTGTCCTAACTGGGACTAGTTCTGAGCATCTGGTCACTGGACCAGACCCTGCGCTTACACGTGATCCCTTACACGTGTAGTACTGGTGGCTGGCTATTCACGGCTGCATTGCAGATGGCTTGTGGAGACAGCCTGTTTGTTAAAAACTTCAAAAAAGACCACAAATAACTAATTTGGCAATGGAAATGGGCCAAAATAACAACTCTAAAACTGAAAACAACCAAATGTTGGTCTGATGAGAGAGCCAGAACACATGGCAAGGCAGTGTGCAGGGCGGGCAGGCCAAGGGAGGCACTCGTTCCAGGTGGGTAAGGCGGATCTGTCACGGGTTTATCTGGGCACAGCCTTGCAGCCCTGCAACAGCATCACCCCATGGACAAGCACATCCATGCCAGATGAAACAACCATGTCACCAGGAACACCACAGAAACCCGGTTCCCGTATGCCAACTAGACAATCTGTAAAAATGTGTTTACGCACAGATGAAGGAGTGGAGGGGACCAGCGTTACACAGGGTCAAACACCCCAGAAGATGACGGGCTAACCCCAAGAAAACCTGGGTTATTCGTCTGAAAGCAAGACAACAGACAGCTCCTGCCAGCACACGCTTGCAGCCTGCTCAAAGAGGATGCAGTGAAACTGCCAGCCAGAGGGGACCTGGGCAGAGATTATCGGTGACACTTTGGACACATGATGTGTACGTGCAGTCCAAGACGGAGGAGCAGGCATGCTTTCTCTGCATTTCCCCTGTGCTCGGACGTAACCCTTGTCAGGACAATACCAGGCTACTCCTGATGGCAAAGATACTGGCAAATACTTTTATACATGACACCACAATTTATTTGAGAGAGCAAGGTCACCAACACTGCTAGACTGTCCTAGCTCTCTGCCCACTCAAAGCTTATGTATAGTGCAATCCTCTTTTAGCATAATCCCTTTTTGGAGGGAGTTAGTGGGACTTAAGCAGCATCTCAGCTCTGTGCTGGTCCTACAAGGAGAGGTGAATTTCTCCCTGAATAAGTGTCTTAAGAGTCCTCGCCTCAAAGGCACCGGTGTAAACTACTGATGGGGAAGATGATAACATTTTTAGCAACTGATCCTGATGGATCAATTCAGCAGAAGACAAAATAATCTGTGCAAAGCTGAACTGATCCCTCGCAAGGTGTTAACGCGCTTAGTGGCAGCAGCTAAACTGATTAACCCCTGGCGGCAGAGCAGGCAGGCTCTGGGGCCGGGGTCAGCGGGGCAGCCCTGGACGTCACGCCCGGCAGGGAGGCGCATTAACTACAGGGGAGGAAGCAAGGCCATGGGCAACAGGGGCCCTGCGTGACCCTTGGCCGCGCCGGCTGAGGACACGCAGACCGGCAGCGAGGAGGAGGAAGGGGGCAGCGAGTGGTGGGAGAAGGGAGAAGCATCCCTGGGGACCTCCCGGGACCTCCCAGGAGTGGTGCCACGAAGCTGGAGCTGTGGCGTGCTGCCTGCCCCCTCTCCTGCCTCTGCAGATGGGGAAACAACGATTTTGTCCCAAAAGCAGCCAACCTGGAAAGAAGCAAATAGGAAAGGAAGAGTAAAGGGCAAACCCGCTCTTCTCACCCACTGTCCCTAAGAAACAAGGTGCCCACGAAACACAAAGCATCGCAGTCGCTCCTGTAAGATGCCAATGCTACCAGAAACGCTGGAAGAGAGAGAGATGGGGGCACTTACCCTTCAAAAGAAAACAGCCCTGCTGATCTCTGCTCACATGCTCCCTTCCCTCAGCCGAACACAGACTGACCTACCCATGGTGCATTTTCACTCTGCCCCTAATTTGCAACCCCGAAGGAAAAGGAGGCAGGCTCTTCTCTACCTCCCACTCAACCCCGCTCCTCAAGGCTCCCCAGCATCAGCTCCTTTCACTCCTTTGCCCTGTCCTGCCACCCCTGCCTGCATCCCTCTGAAGGCTTCATCCCAATCACACTCGCTCTGCTCTGGCAGTGTTTCTCCACTTCTCCTCCTCTGAACTTGACCCATCAGGGTCCTCCCTGGCTTCCACCAGCTGCTCATATGTCCAAAGGAAAAAAAACCCAAAAAAACCCTTTGACTGATAAACCCAGTACTGTCTGAACCTGCCCCCGGGCACCATCCCTGATGTCCCCAGGACTGGAGGCTGTCACATTGCCTGCTCTCCTTTGCAGAGCGACATTTGGCCTTGCAGGTCCCCACGCGACGCACAACAGGAATAAACTCTCTCCCGTGATGATCCGGTTGTTGGGGTTTTCATCCCATCCTCCCTTCTCTCTGTCAGCCCCGGGATGCTGTGATTAAAAGGCTGCTAATAAATGCGCCGTTAGAAAAACAGGCTTCATCACGCTGCTGCATCTGAGTGCCGGGGTGGGTTAACATCCTCCTCTCACAAGAGGTCACTTTGATTTGGAAACACCCCGTGAGCAAAACTGCAGGAGCCACCATCTGCCATCGGCACGTGAGGGCAGCCTGCCGTGCTGCCTGCTGCTGCCCGCACTGGGTGACGAGACACTGCCCTGGCTTCTGAAGGGAGCCTTACTCCAGCTTTCCTCTGCAACAAACCCAGACAGGAAAGCTGCCAACGTGCTTATCGCTGATTGCCAGGCACAGATGAGGGCTGAAGGATGTAATGCCTGCCTGCTGTTAATCGGAAAGGACAAGGTGCAAGGGGGTAAGGGAAAGTATCACTCCACCTTCTCTGATGCTCCAGCCCAGAACAAAGGGAGAGAATGAGAAAAGCCTTGTCTGTAACTACTAGCAAGAGAAAAGTCCCTGCCTGCCAAGCAGGCTGTTAACCAGGAGCCGCGGCAGAGCCGAGGACACCCACGCCGATGGCTGCACTGGTGAGGCGGGAGGTCACCAGCCTGCTGGGGCTGCCGGGCTGGGGGACGGGCAGCAACAGGGATGCTTTTCCCAGCCGCAGTCCTGTCCTTGGGGGAAACAACCCAGAGGGTTCAGAGACATCCCGCAGCCCAGCTGAGGCTGCCCCAACAGACATAAGCCTCGGCAGTAAAAAAGTAATAAGAAAATGCCATTTTCTTCTCCCAGAGATGCCTAAAGCTACACACAGCTGGTATGTCCCTGGAAAACCCCACCTTACCTGCTCCTATCGCCATCACAGGCAGGAACACCCACCTCTGTCCACACCACCTTGCTGCCCACCAGCTCTTTGTGCACCTCTGTGAGGGTGCAGGGACCTGCTGGGGTCCAGCAGTAATTCTACTCCTGCACTAAAATGAGAGCAGCCAGGCTAACGAACTCACCAGTAGTAGATGCGGATGAGCGCTGAGGGCCAGAGGAGGAAGGAGGCCACGAAGGCGAGGATGGGGATGGCCAGGGTGCCGCCAGCGATGACAAACATGTTCAGCACATCCAGGTCCATACTGGTCTTCACCGCCCAGCCTCACCTGCCCACATTTAGGGAAGGATCAGAGGTTAAACATCAGAAATGACGACAAGTCGATGCTAAACGAAATCTCTGCTGCTGGGGAGAGAGGAAAGCGGCTCTGCGAGAGGCAAAGCATATCACTCAGGAACACAGCAAAGTCTCTTTCGGGTTTAAAACTTGATTATTTCTGCTGGCTCCTTAACGGATCAAATTATTGCAACATTATCCTCTCAGGAATGAGCCTCCTAACAGGCACAGACCATGTCTGCGGCGATAGGGTGCGACGTGGCCCTTGAAGCATTTTGCACAGCCCTCCCCCAGTCCCCCCCCTTCCCAGATGGGTGCAGGCCAGGCTGCCTTAACGCAGGCTTCACGTTGCTTTTTGGAGGCAGGCGTCCAGCTCTGGCTCCCCTCCCCCTGCCCGATCCCAAATCCCAGCACACAACCACTGACCTAGAATTGATGGCTTGAGCCCGACTCTCATTACTGCTCCGCAGAGGCACCAACTAATCAAGGGAGCAGAGCCTATTAATGGGCTCGGGAACCAAAGGAAACAACCTGGCAGGGTGCTCTTTGGCGACCAGCCCTTATCTGAGACAAATTAATTCCCGTCCCCACATCCTCGCTCCTGCCCCATGGGCATTTTGCGCTGGCTGTCGATCACAGGTCCCATTCTGGCTTCCGAGCATCTTTCGGACAAATCTCAGGGGCAGCAGGCGGAGGACACAGGGTGCAAGGGCGAGCTCTCACACAACACCGCACTCGTCCCTGAACTCGCCCCGCCACAGGCAGCCAGGATATATTTTTCCCGTTAAGAGATTAAACCCTGTCGCACACACATCTCCTCTAATTCCCGCTGCTAACCAACTTATGTCTCTCCCTTTCCTTGGCACTGCCTCTTTTGTCACACATTTCTAAAACGAGATGTTTCCAATGCCTGCTGTCCCACCAGCCATGCCCCCCACATCACCACCACCCCATTTTTCCGTGCCACGACAGGCAGATTTATTTCTGTTTCCTGCAAGACTCACGGCGGTATGTGGTATGTTGTATGTTATGCCGTGAAGCAGTAACCGAATCGCCACAGTTACATCCTCTCCCCCTCCAACGCCATCACACTGGATCACATTACACATGACCAAGAAAAACGGTTTACAAAACCTCTGAAGCAAGAGCCAGGTTTGCCCTCTTGCCCCAGGGAAAATAGGAATAACAGAAATTTGAGGAATACTGTAAATATTTCCACCAGGCACTTCCTTAACAAAGCTAAACCTCATTTCTTTCTTCAAGCCTCAACAACACGCCATTATTCGTTTAATTAACACTGTGTAGAAAGATCTTTGATCTCTGCTCAGCTTGTTCATAGATAAACACTTTGGACAACAGATAAACCTTGTACGTGAGAGCGGGGCTGCACGGGTGCCCACCTGGGAGCACTTGCTGCCTTTCGCTATGTCAGTAAAACACGGAAGAAATTAAGCACAGAAAACTGCCATCATTCCCGTCAGTGACCCATAACAAGAGAAGGTTGTAGCTAGGAGAAAGCATGGGAAAAGCAGTGCGGGGTGGTGGGAGCCCCTCCGCTCCCCGGCACGGGGTCACCACCTCCGCTGCTCTTGGAAAGCAAAACAAGAAGGAGAAAGCCTTTAAAAAGCCCAGCTTACTTTGCAGAGATCCCCTCCTCCTGTCGGCACAGGTCCTGCTCACCGTGGGTGGCGGCAGCGGCGGCTGAAAACACTAGCAGAAGAGGGAAAAAAAAAGGTTAAAATCGCAGTCCTGCTTCTTCTCCTCCTTTCAGACTCAGTAGCTGGGCAAGAAAGCAAGTTGAAGGTATTTAAGCCACTGGCTTCCCTTCAAGACGTCTCATCTTCACCTTCTGACCAACCTTTCCCCTGTTTATGTAAATACGGTCTTTTGTACAACAAAGTGAAACAAGAGCACTTGTTCCAAGCAGGAACAAAGTGCAACCTGCCATCGGAGACGAAGCGAAAGCCGGCATGGCACGGCGGGGAGAGCTGACGCCAGCAGCCCCCGCCGCGGCAGGGCTGCGTGGCACCCAGCAAAACGGGGCTCATGGTTGCGCTTCGGGTGATTACAGCTATTAGAACAAAGCCAGCTAAGCTGCTTCCCATCCCCTTCCTCTTCGTATTAAATGTAATTTTCCAAGCGCTCTCAGTGCCCTCCAGAGCCTTCCCTGTGCGAGTCAGGCTGAAGCGTAGCGCAGCCACAGGAAATTACTGAAGGGGCAGGAAAACGCTGGCCTGAACTCACCGGCAGCTTTTGGCCACGGAAATTCAAGCTGGAGGTGCAGTGGGAGCACCGGAGCCCCCCTGCACGAGCACCGGGAGCTGCTTTGAGCCAGAAAATCCCCGAGACATCCCCTCTGTCGCGGCTGTG